GRWWRGRWTTTTTTTTTTAGTATACCATGAACACTATGTTCTCAATACTAAACAGAAATGGAGCTGTTTGATGATTATCAGGGCACAGTTCAAAAGCTTCCCTCTCTGATGGTATGGGGGTACAGAAACTGGTCTCATACAGACTAACAGAATGGAAGCGTCACAGTGGTAAACAGGGTGTTGCTGCCATTAAATTCCGTTTGTGAATAAAATATAGGCTTATGAGATTTGCAAGTCGATGCATTCTGATGATTTACATTCTACACAACATTCTAACTTTTTTTAAAATACAGAATGTTTAAAAAAAAAAAAAGGCCTGGGTTGGTTTTCCATCAGCCCCGATAAGAAAAACTGTGAGCAAAAGTCAAAATACCAATCATCTCACTCTTTTTTTAAAAGAACCAGTTAAAAAATAACAGGAAACCATCTAATGTTATGTTTCATTTGGTCTAAAACTGTTAGGCGTCTGTTCTTAACGAAAAGTACGCTATTTTGAAAAGAAAAGACAATGTTTGCAAGTCTTCAAAGGTCATCAAAGGACATGATTATTTTTCATTAGAGTAAAGTTAACTTTAAACTGTAAGTGATAAGAGAAAGCCCTTTGTTTCACATCACGCGCTCATCTGCTGTCGAACCAAAAAGTAACTTGACAAGAAAAACCCGCTTAAAGTGTGAATGAAATTGATTTACTCTCTTATTTAATTTTAGAAGCTATAGCGTTGGGAATAAAATTCAGGTAAAAAAAAGACAACTTACTGTGGCTGCTCTTGTAAAATAATAATAAATAAATAAATACAAATTAAATTAAAAAAGAGCCACTTCTTTTAAACTCCTGATCGACGACAGCTGGCTTTGCACACGTCACGCCTCCCAGAGCGTGCTGACAGGAAGGGTATTCGCTGAACTCACCGCGCGCGGCTGACACAACCATAAAGTAGATCCGTGYAAATACGTCTGTTGAAGGCGGAAGCAGAAAAATCCTTGAACGTTATCAGCAAGTCTTTAACCCTATGAGCTCAACAGGCAGGGCTGTGGATCTGGACGTGGTTATATGGCCTGAAATTGAGCTGAAGAGTGGTTGTGAAAAAAAATCTCAAATGTTGATGCTGATTTAACATCTTTTATATTTTGCATTCAGGTAAAACGTGTCAAATAACCTTTGAGCAACATGTTTATTGAAAATGCTTGCATCTATATCATTTTTGATTGACACACTTGCTGTAGCTGTGATTAAACTTTTATTTTATTTTTATTTTTTGAGTGAGACAGAGGCTTTCAGGTGTTGCTGAGCAAATCTGGGCCACTTTGAAGCGGTGAGAGAAAAGGCTGCTGAACAGACTGCTGCCCATATTCTCCCACACACTGTGCAGAAAGCAGAGGCAGTTGCTGCTTGCATACCAACAGGAAGTCTTTCTGCACACAGCTGGCCTAATAAGGTTGATCACCTCTGACTACATGTTGCATCTGTTTTGTACAGTTTAAATCATTTTATGCAGTGTGTCCTGATGCATCTCAGTAATCCAGGTAAAAAATCAAAAGGAAAAAAATTGTATAGGTCCTCTG